CAGATGGCTGCATTCCCTGCACCTGGAAGAATGAGGCTTTGATTCTGAAGGGAGAAGAGGGCAGACATCACAGGACTCACAACAGTCCACCCCATCAGCCATTCGCACTGTGACCTGAAACGACTTGCATAGTGTCCCTTGAGAACTTATTTGCGATGCATGAAGGTCAGGAGTTGAGAGGACTTTCCTCAGGAAGTGAGAGCCGAACTGAGAACTGAAGGATCATGAGTAAGACTCAGCCAAGGATAATCTTATCTTTCTGAACTCCTTCTCTGTAAACTCAATTGTTGCTCCCACTACTGCCATTAAGACAGAACGCCAGACCAACAAATGCCGCTGACAAGTAGATATTATTAGTAGGGTATTTCATAGGTACATCAAACTGAACCTTTACAAGAACAAACTCAATGATTTCCCTTCATTCCCTTTTTTTCTTCCTTGCAAACGTGTTATGTCAGAGAGAGCAACACCATTGACAGCATCAACAGATCCATGCAGGGAATTGTCCTAGATGGTTAAGTAACAATAACATTATGTTAAGATAGGTTTCCTAATAAGTCTTTACTTTTCTACTAGTGCTTATCACAGTCTCTATTTTTACTATTTATTTATATATTAGCTTCTTTCTCCTAATAGAATGTGAGCTCTATGAAACTTGGGCCTTTATTTTGTTTCAAACTTCATACTAGTTCCTAGAAGATATCAAGTAATAAATATTTAAAGGCACAAATCATTATACCACTGTTAATACCACAATTAGAAATGAATTTGGGAGTGCAGATATGTTTCCAATTTGCTCTCTCTCCTAGTTTTTGTCTGATAGTAAAAACATCCACACAAACTGAACATTTGTAACTGTCAGAAATTTGTAGAGTGGATTTCCCCTTGTTTCTTCCATTAATCCACCCATTAATTTCAAAAGGTCTTATTTTTCTGATATATTTTATAGACATGTACAATTTAGGCAATGTGCCTCTTTAAAGCAAAAATCCAGATCTAATAGCACTGTAAATAATGGAATAGAAAAGGAAATGAGGACTATGGTTTAGATAGCATGTTTCCCATGTGATGAATAAAAGGGAATAGTTACAGTCGGGTATGTTACACACATCTTGGGCACTGTAATGGACTGAGTTGTGAGTCCCCAAAATTCATATGTTGAAACCATAATCCCCAGTACCTCAGAATGTGACTACATGTGGAAAAAAGGCCTTTAAAGAGGTAATTCAGCTAAAATAGGGTCACTAGGGTGGGCCCTAATCCAATCTGACTGATATGTTTATAAGAAGAGGAGACAAAGTCATGCAGAGAGACACCAGGGGCATTTGTGCACAGAGATATGACCGTGTGAAGAGGCAGCAAGAGGGCCACCTGCTGGCCAAGGAGAGAGGCCTCAGAGGAAACCAAGCCTGCTGGTACCTAGAGCTTGGACTTCCAGCCTCCAGGATGGTGAGAAAATAAATGTCTGTAGTTTAAGTCACCTAGTCTTTGGTATTTATTATGGCAATCCTAGCCAATTAAGAGAGCTACCAATTCAAAAATCCTCTTGCTCCATCTTTGTACCCCAGCCACGTATTATTTAGTTATTTCAACGGAGGCTGTGAAAAGCATTGCACATCTGCAATTGGACAGCATGTTGCCTCAGGCCCATGCCACAATCCTCCTGCTTCCTGCCCTGAAGCTTTTCTCATACCACAGTATGGCACACCTGAGGGCATCTACTCATAAACATGCAACTCAGAAATGTGGAGACATTACTCCCTCTAGCATCACCCTTGGCCAATAGAAGACACGAGCTGATGTCTTTTCATCTACCTTGTGGAAAGTTCTGAGACACATTTCATAATGCACCTCAGAAGGGTTTGGTGGCATCGAACACGAGTCACCCATAGAGGGATCAAAATGAAAATGATTCATTTCAATGTCTTTCCTTCCTTCTCTGACTCCCATTGTTCTGTACTCCTACTCCTTGGGATCAAACCTCTCCCCTAAAAACCATTTGCACACAGCCTTTGTGTTGAGGGCCTGTGTTCAAGAAATGCATCATAAGATGGGACAAGGGCGGTAAAATAATGCTTTGGCTCATGAAATAGTAATAAAATTGTTAATGTTAATGAAATAATGCTAAACTATTTGCAGTTGTATTAACATGCTTTGTCACTGTTATAATATCTCATTGTCCTCATATTTGCTGTTTCTGATTTTAGAGTTGACTCAGCAATTCCAATGATAAGAATTCACCATTCAGGTACATCCATATTCATGCAAAATGTTCTATGTCCAAGGTTATTCACTGCAGCATTGTAGTTATAGTAAAGTATTGGGAAGAACCTACCTGTGAGTCACTAGGGACCTACTTAGATAAATGAGGGAACACTAGGACAATGTAATACTGTGCAGACAAAGAAACGCAAGGTGCGTGGTTAATACACACACACACACACACACACACACAATACTCCAGCTAATATACAAATATACAGTGTACAATATCAATACAGAAAAATCAATGTGTTTCTATAGACAACAATGAACAATCTTAAAAGGAAAGTTTAAAAACTCCATTTACAATTACATCAAAAAGAATAAAATACCTAAGGAGACAGTTAACCAAGGAGGTGAAAGACCCATATACTGAAACCTAGAAAGCTTTGCTGGAACCAATTACAGAGGACCTAAATAAAACAATGATGAAATATCACTACACGCCAATCAGAAAGAAAGCATTGGAGGCTGGCCCCATGGCCAAGTGGTTAAGTTCACACACTCTGCTTTGGCAGCCCAGGGTTCACCAGTTGGAACCCTGAGTGCAGACTTACACATTGCTCATCAAGCCATGCTATGGCAGGATCCCACATAGAAGAATTAGAATGACTTACAACTAGGATATACAACTATGTACTGGGTACTTGGGGAGGAAAAAAAAAGAGGAAGATTGGCAACAGATGTTAGCTCTGGGTCAATCTTCCTTAAAAAAAAAAAAAGCACCACAAACAACACAAAACAAAAAAAGAACTCTGTAATGGGAGACCTGGAAGGTCATCATCGCTTAAAAAAAGAAAGAAAGAAAGAAAGTATTGTATGATTTCATTTACGTGAAATGTCTAGAAAACGAAAATGCAAATCTCTAGAGACAGAAAGCAGATTCTTGGCAGCTTAGATGTTAAGGTAGTAGGAAAATGAGGGTATGACAGCCAAAGGGTACTTTTGGAGAGATGCAAATGTTCTAAAATTGTGATGGTTGCACCATTCTGTGAACCTACTAGGAAATATTAAATGGCATAGTTTTAAATAGGTAAACTCCATAGTATGCAACTTATATCTCAATGTAACTATTGCAGAAAATAAACAGAACAGAAAATCATGATAGTGGCTACGTTCTTAGTAGCATAAAAAATTTAATGTCTCTGAAGCACCTAGAGCATAAGATGCAACAAGATTTAGCTACCATGATATGCTTACTTCTAAATGTTAAAACAATATAAAACTATTGCAATCTAAAGAGTATGATATGGGCATAAGTAAATATTACTGGCATGGAAGAGTCTAGAAATTGATACAGGTATATATGGCAATTTACTGTTTAATAAAGGTGGAATTTCAAATCAGTAGGTCAAGGACAGTTTATCAATAAATGATACTACAACTAGTCATTTTTTCTGGAGGAAAAACAAATTGGATCCACTACCCTACACCGCATGCCAAAATACATTCTTTGAGGATTACAGACTAAAATGTCATTAGAAATAAATTTCAGAAGAAAATTAGGAAATCTGAATGTAATCTAGAGTTTGAAGAGAATTTTTAAGGCAAGGCAGGAAATCCAGAAATTATTTTTTAAAAAAGACTCTTGGCTACATAAAAATTATTTTTAAAGCAACAGATGAAACATTCACGTAGGAAAATAGTTATCAATTCAATAGGTGCATGAAACACAATTAATAAACCACACGAACAATTCTTGGTAAAATGTGCTAGTAAATCAGGATTTTAAAAGACCTCTACTAACTCCACAAGGGCCACCTACTGACAACCACAGCAAACGTAATCACCAGAGAAACTTGAGAACCATTCCTGAATGAGGAATGCCTCCTATCAGTGCTATTTCACATCTTAGTATGGGAGGCCCTGGACCATATGGTAAGATTGGAAAACTAAAAAAACAGAAATACATATTTGAAGAAATAAAGTTACAGAAAAATGTCATTACATTGAAAACGCAAAGGAATCAATGATTAGAGTTTAGCATAGCGTCCCACGTAAATAAAAAGAAAGAAGGGGAAGTAAAGGTTAAATACGGGATTGACCGAATGGAGGAGACAGACTGTCACGGATCGGCAGGCATATCACTATGGGAGAATCATGGTAAGGGCTCTAGAAAGGTGAGGGCAGGCGGGCAGAGAAGCTTTTCATAAGCACCCGGCGTCCTGAGTCCCCATGCCCAGCCTCTGCCTTCGGACATCTAAACCCCGCGCTGGGTTTCATCTCGCCCCAACCCCTGCCCCCGGGTATCGGCTCCGCCCTCCGCCAGGAGCCCCGCCCTCATGCCGCCTTCCATCCTCAGCTGCGTCCGCGGGGCCTGTTTCCGCCCCCAGCCCCGCGCGGAGCGACCCCAGGGCCCATCGGCACCCACGCGGGTAGAACTACAACTGCTCTGCCGGAAATGGACGGACGTGATTGGCAGCCCGAGCCTTGGAGGCCCGCCCCTTACGGCCTGCGGCAGGAAGCGGAAGTGGCGTCACCGTTTCGCGCCGTTCTTTTGTCCCGGGATTCCGCGCTTCGTGGAGCGGTCAGGACGGTCCTCTTGCGGTGGCCCCGTCCTCTGTGAGGCCCGTGGAGGAAGGGCCCTGGGCGCACGGAGGGCGTTAAAGGACAGGTGCGGCCCGGGACCCGAGGGGCTCCGTAGAGAGGCCGGGCCTCCGCTCGTCCGCCCGGCCGCTGGGCGCCGCTCTGAGCCGGGGCGGGAAGGGCGCCTCGTGGGGCTTTGGCGTCCCCTGCGCTGCCCTAGTCAGAGCCTCCGAGTCACCTTCGAGACTTTTCCCCGGAAGGGGGAGAAGCAGCTCCGCTGTGCGAGTTCCGTTGCTCAGGCCCCGCGCCCTCCGGTTCTCAGGACCTGCGACCCCGCCGTGTGCCTGTGAGTCCGGGGGAAAGTGGGTCAGGGGCCTCTGCTGCTTTTCCTGTGCTGTGAGAATTTGGCCTTGTCCGGGCGCGTTCTTTGTTTTGAACATTACTTGAAGGTAAGATAGTTTCTTGGGTGTCAGGGGTGAGCATATTTGTGTATATGATTATAAGCGGATGTTGACCACAAGTCTTGCATCTAAAGAAAAGCCAGCATACTCAGCTTTGTCGTCATCTGAACTTCCTAGGCCCCTCCATCCCCACAGCCTTAAACAGGGGCCTCCAGAAGATATAGATGGAGATTTTGTGACACCAGTTCTAGAATAATTCGGTTTACCATTAACAGGATATGTGGACTGTGTGTTTTCCCCACATTTTTCTTTTGTAAAATCTTAAACCTACAGAAAATTTGAACATCCAGTACGACGAGTGTTTCTTATAGTGGATTCATCCATTTTTAGCATTTTGCATGCTTGTCCTCGCCACAGATAAATGCATTTGAAGGTCACTATTTGAGAGTAAGTTGAAAATAAATTGCAGACATACTTGACCTTTAAATACTGGGTAATCCATCTCCCAAAGATAAGATAATTTTCCAATCGGTTTTTTCGTTTTTTGTTATTGTTGAATTGTGTGAGTTGCTTATATATCTTGGAAATTAACCGCTTGTCAGATATATGATTTGCAGGTGTTTTCTCCTAGTTGATGGATTGTCTTTTCATTTTGTTTATGGTTTCCTTTGCTTGCAGAAGCTTTGTAATCTAATATAGTCCCATTTGTTTCTTTTTTCTTTTTTCCCTTGCCTGAGTCTATGGTGTTGGGAAAAGATGGTGCTAAGACTGATGTCAAAGAGTGTACTGCCTTTATTTTCTTCTAGGAGTTTTATGGTTTCAGTCTTAACATTCAAGTCGTTAATCCGTTTTGAGTTTATTTTTGTGTGTGGTGGAAGATAATGGTCTACTTTCATTCTTTTGCATGTGGCTGTCCACTTTTCCCAACACTGTTTATTGAAGAGACTTTCCTTTGTCCATTTGTGTGTTTTTGGCTCCTTTGTTAAGATTAGCTGTCCATAGATGTGTGGTTTTATTTCTGGGCTTTCAGTTCTGTTCCATTGATCAGTGTGTCTGTTTTTGTGCCAGTACCATGCTGTTTTGAGTACTATAGCTTTGTAGTATTTTGAATTTGGGAATTGTTATGCCTCCATCTTTGTTCTTTTTTTCTCAGGATTACTTTGGCTATTCAAGATCTTTTGTTGCTCAATATAAATTTTAGGATTCTCTGTTCTATTTCTTTGAAGGATGTCATTGGGTTCTGATTGAGATTACATTGAATCTTTAGATTACATAAGGTAATATGGACATTTTAACTGTGTTTATTTTTCCAATCCATGAGTGTGGAATATCTTTCCATTTCTTTGTCTTTTTCAATTTCTTTCAATAATATCTTATAGTTTTTAGTGTATAGATTTTTCACCACCTTGGTTAAGTTTATTGTAGATATTTTATTCTTTTTGTTGCAATTGTAAACGGGATTGTATTCTTAATTTCTCTTGCTGTTACTCTGTTTTAGTATATAGAAATGCAACTGATTTTTGTTTGTTGATTTTGTATTGGGGAACTGTATTTTATTTAATAGTTTTTTGGTGGATTCTTTAGGGTTTTCTATATATAAAATCATGTCTTGTGTAAATAGTGGCAGTTTTACTTTTTCCTTTCCAGTTGGGATCCCTTTTATTTCTTTTGTTGCCTAATTGTTCTGGCCAAAACTTCCAGTACTTTGTTGAATAGGACTGGCAAGAGTAGGCATCCTTGTCCTGTTCCTGTTCTCAGAGGGATGGCTTTCAGTTTTTCACCGTTAAGTATTATGTTGGCTGTGGGTTTGTCATACATGATGTTTATTATGTTGAGGTGCTTTCCTTTTATGCCCATTTTATTGACAGTTTTTATGATAAATGGATGTTGGAGCTTGTCATATGCTTTCTCTGCATCTATTGAGATGATCATGTGATTTTTTTTTTTTTTTTTGAGGAAGATTAGCCCTGAGCTAACTACTGCTAGTCCTCCTCTTTTTGCTGAGGAAGCCTGGCCCTGAGCTAACATCGTGCCCATCTTCCTCTACTTTATATGTAGGACGCCTACCACAGCATGGTGTGCCAAGCAGTGCCATGTCTGCACCCAGGATCTGAACTGGCGAACCCCGGGCAGCCGAGAAGCAGAATGTGCAAACTTAACCGCTGCGCCACCGGGCCGGCAGGATCATGTGATTTTTATTGCTCATTTTGTTACTGTGGTGTATCACATTGATTGATTGTGAATGTTGAACCATCCCTACGTCCATAGTATAAATCCCGCTTGGTTACGGTGTACAATCCTTTTAACACAGTGCTGTATTCAGTTTGCCAATATTTTCTGGAAGGTTTTTGCATCTATGTTCCTAAGTGATATTGGTCTGCAATGTTCCTTCTTTCTGTTGTCCTTATCTGCTTTTGGTATCAGGGTAATGTTGGCCTCATAGAGTGAGTTAGGAAGCTTTCTGTCTTCTTCAATTTTTTGGAATAGTTTGAGAAGGATGAGTGTTACAACTTTTTCAGTGTTTGGTGGAATTCTCCAGAGAATCCATATGGTCCTGGAGTTCTGTTTTTTGGGAGGTTTTTGATTGCTGTTTCTCTCTTTACTTGTGATTGGTCTATTCAGATTCTCTGTTTCTTCTTGATTCAGTTTTGGGAGGTTGTATGGGTCTGAGAATTTATCCATTTCTTCTAGGTTGTCCAGTTTTTTAGCATATAATTTTCATAGTATTGTCTTATAATCCTTTATATGTTTTTGGTATTCATTGTAATTTCTCCTCTTTCGTTTTTCATTTCTTTTGAGTCTTCTCTCTCTTATTCTTAGGATGGCTAAAGATTTGTCAATTTTGTTTATCTTCTCAAAGAGCTAGCTGTTAGTTTCATTTATCCTTTATGCTGTTTTTGTTGTTCTATTTCATTTATTTCTGCTGTAATTTCTGTTATTTTCCTCCTTCTGCTGACTTTGGGCCTTGTTTGCTCTTCATTTTCTAGTTCTATTAGGTGTAGTTCAGGATTACTTACTTGAGATTTTTCGTGTTTGTTGAGGTAGGCTTGTATTGCTATAAATTTCCCTCTTAGTATAGCTTTTGCTGCATGCCATGAGAGTTGATATGTTGTGTTTTCATTTTCATTTTTCTCCAGGTATTTTTTATTTCTCCTTTGATTTCTTCATTGATCCAATGATTGTTCAGTAGCATGTTGTTTGATCTCCTTATATTTGTGACTTTCCCAGCTTTTTTCTTATCGTTGATTTCTAGTTTCCTGGCATTGCAGTTGGAAAAGATGCTTGTTTTGATTTCAATCTTCTTAAATTTATTGAGGCTCCATGTTTCTCGACATATGGTCTATCTTTGAGAATGTTCTGTGTGTGCTTGAGAAGAATATGTATTCTGTTTTGGTGACAGGTTCTCTATATATCTACTAAGTCCATGTAGTCTGGTGTTTCATTTAAGGTCACTGATTCCTTGTTGACTTTCTGTCTGAATGATCTATCCGTTGATGTAAGATGGGTGTTGAGGTCCCCTACTAGTACTGTGTTGCTGTCAGTTTCTCCCTTTGGGTCTGTCAATAGTTACTTTATATACTTTGGTGTTCCTGTTAGGTGCATATGTATTAATAAGTGTTATGTCCTTTTGGTGTAATGGCTGTTTATCATTATATTCTGCTCCTCTTTGTCTCTCACTGTCTTTTTTATCTTGAAATCTGCTTTGTTTCATATAAGTATGGCAACACCTGCTTTCTTTTGGTTGCCGTTTGCTTGTAATATCATCTTCCGTCTCTTCACTCTGAGCCTGTTTGTTTTTAGAGATACGTGTTTCTTGGAGGTAACATATTGTTTGGTCTTGTTTTTTAATCCATCTGGCCTCTCTGGGTCCCTTGAATGGAGAATTCAATCTATTTACATTTAGAGTGATTATTGACATGTGAGTATGAGGGCTTGATTCTGTCATTTTATGTCTTGTTTTCCTGGTGTTCTATATTTCCTTTGTTTCTTTTCCCTTGTATTTCTGACTGCTGTTTCAGTTTGGTGGGCTTTTTTGTGATGGTTTCCTCAGTTTTCTCTTTATTTATGAATTGTGACCATGCTCTGATTTTTTTGTTTTGTGGTCACCATGAGGTTTGTATAAAAGATCTCATAGATGAGATAGTCTATTTGCTGATAGTGTCTTATTTCCATTAGCATGAGCAGGTTCCAGCCCCTTCGTTTTCCCCTTCTCTATTTTTGTTGTCACAAATTATTATTTTTTGTGTTGTGAGTTTGTGACTAAATTAAAGTGTTAATAGTTATTTTTGATGCTTGCGTTCTCTTTCATGTTATAATTGTTTGCTAACCTGTTTTGATAGCTGCAATTTTCTGACTTTGTCTATTTATTTCCTTGCTCACGGCTTTGTAAATGGTTGCCTTTTTGTTATAGGTAGGAGGGCTTCCTTCATTGTTTCTTGTAAGAGAGGCTTAGTGGTGCTGAATTCCCTCAGCTTCTGTTTATCTGGGAAAGTTTGTATTTCTCCATTGTTTCTGAAGGATAGTTTTGCTGGTTGAAGTATTTTTGGCTGAAAGTTTTTGTCTTTCAGTATTTTTTTTTTTTTAAGATTTTATTGTTTTTCCTTTTTCTCCCCAAAGGTCCCTGGTACATAGTTGCTTTTTTTTTCTTTTTAGCTGTGAATCCTTCTAGTTGTGGCATGTGGGACACCACTTCAGCATGGCCTGGTGAGGGGTACCGTGTCCATGCCTGGGATCCAAACCAGCAAAATCCTGGGCCGCCGAAGCGAAGCATGCGAACTTAACCACTCAGCCACGGGGCTGGCCCCTGTCTTTCAGTATTTTGAATATATCATTTCTTTCTCTGCTAGCCTGTAAGGCTTCTACTGAGAAACCCACTGAAAGCCTGGTGGGGATTCCTTTGTAGGTTATTTTCTTCTATGCTGCCCTTAATGTGTTTTCTTTGTCA